GCGCGTCGCCACGGGCGCGTCGCCACGGGCGCGTCGCTACACTATCCCCTCTCCAGGAGATTTCAGGCATGCATCATTTCCTAGGAGCATCCATACTGCTCCGCGACCACCTGGCATTGTTTTAATGTTAAGCAATTCATTTTCGTGTTTTAGTGCCCACGCTGACTTACGCAGAACCACGAAATTCACATCAAGATCACAGTTCATCCACAACACCAACTTCCAGGACATTGGCGTTTTCAGTAGATCGAGGCCCAGTCTTGCTACGTGACTGTCAAACAGATCTTGCTTTCTTTCGCACTGATGATGTACCCAAACAAAAATCGCATGCCGGGAAGCACTATATAGGAGCACTATTTCGCTGCACACTTGCGCATTTCTGAACACTACTCAAAAAAATAAAATGCCCGGCAATGACGAAATCCGGTAGATACTGTTAACAATTTTAGTAGATTGGCACTCGTGATGCCAAGTTTTGAATGATGGTCTAAATAGCGTTCAAGTCCAACCCGCACCTCCGGGTCGGCAAAAAAAGAAAAAATAACAGCCGGCGCCAACGCCACGCAAGAGAGAGCGGGAAAGGCAGGCAGAAGAGATGCCAGTAACATCTCAATAGAGCCCCATGCGATGTGTCAGAAAAATCGGCAAGAGGGCGAGAGAGAAATATAGGGGAAGATAGTGTCGAGGAACAATCGATAAGCGTTAATTACGGGGGCACGTATATTCGTTCCCAATATAATTCACTGAATTCTATGTCGGCCCAGAGAGAACCGCTCTGCGTATCACCCGGTCCAGCTTTTTCCTAAAGTCAGTCACTAGCACCGGCCGTGACGTCTACGGGGCCTACGAGGCAGGCTGTTTGTCGCCGTGATTTGTTTCGAGTCTGCATACAATGGAAGTGCTGCGATTAGATTTCTCTATAAGGCTGTCCAGACTGAGTCGCCCCTATTAAAAAGTTGGTGGTCGCCAAAAACCCCGTCGTGTTCAGTTACGGCTCGCGGACCTTTTTCAAGGCCATGACGCTTCACACGTTGAATCGTATTACTGCTGGGATCAAGGTGCCTGTGAGGATATAAATGACGCCTCTCAGAAAAGAAGGGGCAGTGCAGATAATGGCGCGTAAAGTCCAGTCTTCCATCAACTCCCTTCTGACGCCTCCAACGACCCCAGTCATGAATGCCCAGTGGACGAGATCCCACTTCTGAAACCATTCCCGTACTCGCAGCGAAAGTTCCAGCGATGTGCGATGGGGTGGGTAAAGCACGCCCGTCAGCGGATTAATCAGAAGAGCAAGGTAAGTGGTGGAACATTCCGCGCAGCGTGGCATAGACCCTTGTTCATTTCTTCACCTGACTTTGTTTTATATACTTCAGGCTGGCACATCCAGGGACGTCTTTTGGCGGCGCTCCGTACTGCATTTCCTGTCTGAAAATACTAAAATAAACAGTTCGTACCAAACCTGTGTTTTAGTTACTTCCTTCGTACTTGCATGAGAGCAACTTGCCTTCGCAATAATACTCAAAACGTTTTTTTTTTTTTTTTTAGTGAGGGGGGGGGGGGGGGGGTGTGGACACAGCGTCTTCTCCACAACGCCTAGGGAACGTAATTTGGAATGGTTTCTTGAAGATCTATGAATGTCGTTGTTAGTCCGGATGTCGAAAACACACGTATCATAAACGTCGAGGGAAGACGCAACGGCCCATTGAGACGTGCCTGTGACGTATGGCAAACGTCTTTGGAAACGGTTTCTCAACCTTCTGTGCACCTTTTCGCGCGCACATGTAGAGGTTTCATCGAAGTCCAAGGAAGGTAGCGTCCGGACCTTCGACGTTGTACGACGTCACGTCACACGCGTCTTCGACGTTCTTTCGTCGTTTTCTTCACGTTTATGTGCTGCCTGCGTTAGGTTTAGCTCCGTGTGTGTGTGGGGGGGGGGGGGCGTAGGGGCTGGGGCCTGTTTGCAATTTAGCTTTATTTTGCCAACGAACGAAAACAGTGAAGAGTGCGAATAATCCAAGTCATCAGGAAACTTTGCTGTTGAAATGTTCGCAAATAAATTACGCAAAAGTAACAACACTTTTAAGAAACATACAGACAGCGCTCTGTCTGTGTCTTTCCTCGTCCCGGTCCAACGTCTTTTAGCGCTGTTCGCAGCTGGTCATGTGAGAAATATTCGTTTCGCCTTCTCCACTCATTCGGTACATCTGAAAAAGTTTCCCAATGTTCGATATTTGAGCCGCGCTTCCAATTCTACTGTTTTGAGAGGAAGCATGCACTCCAGCCGACTGGAAAACTTTCCATTTTATACGCTGAGACGGAGTAAAGAACGCGTAACCAAGCACTAAGTGCAACGTTTCAATGACCGCATTAAAATGTGAGTGTCAATAACAATACATTTCTAGAAGGTAAGGTAAGGTGCGATGCCCTAGGTGCATTTCTTAGTTACATTTCTGGGAAGGTATACTGAATGGTAACGGCCAAGGGTAATTTTTTCCTTATCTCTTCTGTTCTGCGAGACTGTACTGTTTGTCGTTCCCTGATGCATTAACCCGCTGCGTGTGAGAAGTCTGAGACAGCCACTCTTCGTGATATAATATTTTTCAGGCTGACCAAGTATACTGTTTCACACTTTTACATTAGACACATAAAACTTTACTTTACACCACACCAACAGATAGCCTGAGTGCACACGCCATTAGTAAACAAATGTGAAAATTCAGGCCATAAGAACCAACCCTGGTAAATAAAACTCAACTTTGAGTCAAATAAAAATCTAAATAGAATGAATCTGACCATAGCGCGTGGAACCTGCCTTTCTTTCTTTCTTTTTTTTTCCTTTCGAGATGACAAATAGCGCGCAGCGTGTGGGGGCTCAGTTGCGCCATTTTTAAGCCGCTAACCGACTCAACCAAAATTGTGCGAGTGGTGCGAGCCGGTCTGCGGACTCCGGCATGCATTTTATATAAAAAATACCCACGTGAAACGTGTTGCGGTGAACATTCTCCCTCTTGCGCGCGCCTGCTGTTTGGTGTGGATTACAGTGCGGCGTCAACCGTGCAGCTGAGCGCGCTCGCAGGGAAGCCGCGAGGGCTTCATGACGGGCATCTTCGGCCACCGCGCGCATTTCGGGGGGGCCAAGATTGCAACGGCCTCTGCGCTATGTGGTCGTGCGGGTGGCACTTGTAAATGCTCGGAGATAGGGTGCCTTAAATTCGATTGCGAGAGTGTGGAGGTATAATTTTTCGTATTAAGGGTCAGTTAGCAGAAAAATAAAATTACCGAGCTCTAAGATATTATTATTGAACAAAGAGTCGCGTGCGTAAGAGAACACTACTCGTAGGCTTTCCTGTTTTCGCTTGATCGCACGCAACCTCTGCATTCGCGGTTACAACAATTGCTGGATTTGGCTGTCTGTAGTTGCAGGATAGCTGCCGCATGATTTTCCAAAGGAGTAAGATTAAAAGTTTGGTTCCCTTTTATCTCCAGCGGCTTACAAGTATTGCTCGTACTTTGCGCGAGCGACTGCAAATTAGTTTCGCATTTTTCGCTCAGTTCTACACTTTGAATGAAGATGTAGATACTTACGGAGATATGGCTCTCCTTGAACTGTGTTGAAGAGGCACAGAAACGACTTATTTGGAAATTGTTGAAGGCGCGCGACCGTCGGTTGGTAAAATGTGCGTTTGACGGAATTATGTTGACTAATAATTTTTACCAATTTTTCCTTTGCCTGTTTCAACACAGGACACGGTCGGTTCTGTAAGCAAAATTAGGTGGACTGAAACTACGGGTTAAATACCTTTTCTTCGAATGTCAGAATAAAAAGATTGCTGTCTCTTTGTAGTCCACAAAAATCGCTACGCTCAAATAAGATGTTAGGTTGGCGTTGAGCGAGGGGCGCTTCGCACGCTGAGTCGCGATTGCAACCTTTGTGCATGTGTTCGGATAAAACCTTTAAAATCGTGCTCCTGATTTATATAGTACGCCCACTTTTTCAATGTTCTTTAAATACTGGACATAAATATAGTCGTTTTGAACCACATTTTATTTTCATTGTTTACACTTAGAATCAATATTGTTAACTATTTTGAAAATCACCACTCATCATGAGTACCAATTTGAAACGCGAAGCGACTTACAAAAGCTGTTTTAGGTTGTTTCAAATGACGGACTATTTCACTGCGTTGTATACTTCCGCGTCAACATTAAAGGGGCAGTCAAGCGGTTTTTGGAGAAGCTACTTTTTGGTGCGATGGCGTTAAGGAAGTGTCAGTGAATGAGTATCTTCAGTTTTAGAAGTCAGAACCGCCTATTAATCACGCAGGAATAAAATACGTGCGGACTCTTTTCTGTACTTGCGAGGGCCAATGAAATTATCGTATGTTTGAAAATTTTGGCGGTCTTTGTAAAGTTTCGCTAAAGAAACAATTTTCAGTTCATTTAAATAAGTTGTGCATGATAATTTCACAAGACGTAAAATATTTCTAGTTTAGAATACGCGATACTGCAATTATCGTTTCACAAACAAGGGACTACGTTTTCTTTTTGCCTTCCTCCGCGTGGGGTGAATTTCCCGTTCCCTCGGGATGCGCGGAAGCGCGCGTATCATGAACTCTTTCCCTCCGGGTTTTCGGGAAGTGCGTTTGTGTCCGCCCGTCCTCCCGAGGCGAAATTCAACGTCGCGACATCGTTTGACATCGCGTACCAGAGGTTACGCTGCGATGCCAAACGTTTGTTTGGTTACGACTTGCCCCAACCGCAAATCGAAGAACGCCCGAAAAGGCCTGCGTTTCGTCGTCCTGCCGAAAGATGAACCTCGGAGAAGCACGTGGTTACGTCGCGCCGGCCGCCAAGACGACACCCAGAACTTGCCTATGACGCCCCGTTTTTGTCACGACCACTTCGACCAAAGTGAGTTCTTCTGCGCGGAGGACACGGGTCGTTCACAGCTTCGATGGAACGCGATGCCGACGCTTCTGCTTCCAGTCGAGGATATGATCGAGGCATCTCCGCTGAAGCGCCAGAAAGTCGTGGTAAGTTAGTTTTCTTTTTTTCGCGGCATAGCTTTTGTGGGGAGTTCCGAAAATCTTAGAAGCCACGTGTTCGGAACAAGTTGCAAGACGAATTGCGCGTGCACGCGAAGCTTATGAGCAGGAGCTGTCCACGTAAAGGGATTTATTTGGACAGTGACCGAACACGGACGTACCGATACCCACGAAAAGTGCAATCGATACGTAATGTATAATAATAGATAATCCCAGTGCCAGTAGTGTCGTCAAGATCAGTTATTTCCTGTTTTATGGAGGGTTAGTCTCAATATTTCGGACCCCGGAAGGTCGCAGCCTAATTTTGTTTTCACAAGCAACAGTAATGCCGTTACTGTGCACACTGATCCGTCGGCACCAGATGAAATAGAACAGGAGCGCGTGAGCGTCTTTTCACGGTGGTCTTTGGCGAAATAAGGGTGGGTGGAATATATACGGAGTGCAAGTGCGTCTACTGTTCGCGTATCTCATGCGTTCGTTTACAACCGACATGTGCCCACGTGCTCTTGTTTGCCATCTTAGATCAACCAGTGGCAGCGCGTACCCGGCTGCTTCGTAAACGTGCGTTTCTTGCGTATTCTCTAAATTGCGCGTTGATTGGCACGTTGTTTATGCGTATTTATGTTTTCCCGGAAGCTCGTACAAACTCTCTCCTACGCGAAAGGCGCATTTTGGTTCACTTGCACGCCGTATTATGCGCTGCTTTGTTTCTATTCTTTTGGTCCCGATAGTACATGTTGCGCGTTGAAAAATAGAAGGAAATGATTGGGTTACAAAGATGTGGGAAATGCAAGACTATTTTTAATTCAGAAAATTGCCCTCCCCCCCTTACTTTTACTGCTTGCCGAGCTTGTACCATTGCAAACTGTTACGAGTAATGAAAATCATGTGTGCAGAACATATCCCAAGAACTAGGCAGATGATGCATAATACCACTGTGTCACCATGAGATTCAATAAATAAATACTCATCTTTCTTGAAACAACTCTTCCGCAGGGCAACGACACTGGTGCCACCAGTCGGGTACTAGTACCTTCTAGTAGTCCTGAGCATCAGGACAATGGTGCTGTGGAGCCTGCCACAACAGGTCAAGGTGCTCGTAAGTACTTTCGGAAATCAGCGTGCATATAGAGGTTACAAGTCTGTAATTTCTAATTGTAGCAGTGACAAACACCCTTGCTGTGGTAGCAGCTGCACCACCAGTAGCTGCACCACCAGCAGCTGTACTACCAGCGACAGCCATTGCCATGGAGGAGGCAGTTACACCACCAGTAGCTGCACTACCAACAGCTGCACCACCAGCGACAGCCATTGCTGTGGAGGAGGCGGTTCCACTAAGTCCGCTAAGCCCTGGAGCCACCAGCATCTCATCGGGATCCGATCTGACATACTCCCCAACTCGTGACGACGATTTTGAGAGGTAAGCTGTTCTTGTTTACATTCCGTTTCGTTTCTAAATATTTTCTTGATTCTGCTGCAGCGATCAATACACACCAGGCCCACCAGAGGGGGAGCGACAGTTCCTCGTGTTTGAGAGCTGCCTGAGGGAGCTGTTCAGCACCTGCCAGGAGTGTTCAAGGCCCTGCAACACCACACTCACCCCCCTGGGCACACTGATCAAGGTGAAAAGCATCTGCCCCCTGAATCACGAGCGGATATGGGACAGTCAGCCTCTCATGAACGGGAGGGCAGCTGGAAACATCCTGCTGTCCAGCCACCTGCTGTTCTCTGGATCAAATGTCACAAGCACCTTGAGGATGCTGCGCAACATGAACGTGGAGGTCTTCAGCGATCAGACCTTCTACACGTATCAGAAGAGCCTCCTGTTCCCTGCAATCGACGAAGTGAGCAATATTTCAAAGGGTCTTAGTTGCTTTATGTTTTTTTTCTTAGTGGTGCTTAAATAGGTAGATCTGAAGGCAGAGAAGAGTGAAATCTTAGTTGAAAAATGACTAATGCACTTTAGTTTTTGTAAACAAATACTGCAACATAGCCAGGGTTGACTACTAAATATTTATTTACTTGTGTATTTAGGAGGTACTGAAATTACAAATAAGCAAGTTTTATTTTATTGTGCACACATAACCGTAACTTTGGAAGGTTCACCTGGTTTGAACAGCAACAATCATTTACATTAACAGGTCTACCTGCAAGAACAACAGGATCTGGTCAGACAGCTGGAGGACCAGGATGTTGACATCACCAGCGATGGCAGATTCGACTCTCCTGGGTTCTCTGCCAAGTTCCTGACCTACACTGCACATGTTCAGCAGATCAACAAGATCCTCCACTCCATCCAAGTCCAGCTAGGAGAGGTAAGAAACCTGATCTGAGCGAAAATATAAACACTGCTTTGCTGGTCGCATAACTCGATTAAAATATGCCACACCTCTGCTTGTAGTCGGAGCGAGCCATGGCAAGTGTCAACATGGAGAAGGAGGGCCTCATCAAGCTGCTGGAATTCTTCAAGGAGAAACGTACGTGCACTCAGTCAAGGCTCAGCAGCTACGCAGCAAATTCAGCATCCTGAGCTCACATTTAGTTTTATTATTGCAACTTTCTGGAATTATATGGTGCAGGTATCCATGTAAAATCCTTGGGCACTGACCGCCACCCTGCCATACGAAAACACATGGAGGTGCACGAACCTGGGACCGCCCACTACTTCGACATTTGGCACATCTCCAAAAGTAAGCAATTTTGACAAGTATTGCATTTAACCTACATTTTCAGGGAAATATGCTGCAGGTTGATCTGAGTTATCTCGTCAAATCTTAGGTGTGAAGAAAAAGCTGAACGCAGCACGAAAACGAGCTGGATGTCAACCGCTAGAAGAGTGGACGCAGGCGACCACCAACCACATGTACTGGTCTGCCATGGCTGCGGGAGGCAACAGGGAGCTGCTCGTCGAGATCTGGCTGAGCATGCAGAACCACGTCATCGACAAGCACACTGGTCACGGGGGCAGCTACACGCGGTGTGTGCACAACGAAATTCTCGAAGCCACAAAAATGTGGATGGATCCCAGTAAGTTATTGCCTTCATAGCCTAGTTTGCTTTTCCTAAACCACATTCTTTCTTCAGACTCCCCGGCCTACAGTCACTACAAGCAGATCACTGGGAACAAGCGCCTCCTGAAGGACCTGGCCCAGATGTCCCCCCACGGCCAGACATTCGCCCTGGAATCCTTCCACAGCGTCCTCATTGACTTCGCTCCCAAGTCCCGGGCATTCACTCCAGAAGGCATGCGTGCAAGGTAATATTATGATCAAGCTGCATTAATGTTTAATCAGTTTGCATATAATCGTTTATCACCTGAACCTACTACGACCTGACTTAGTCCTTTTCCCCAACGACTAGATATTGGTCTCTCAAAGTACAAGAGAAACGGTCGAATGACAATTATTATTGCAAACATCATCCCTAATAAAACACCATTTCACTGCAGGACTCGAGTGGCAATCTTGCATTTCAATGAGAACGCTGATCGCTGCCAAGCTGAGACACAAGAGGGCAAGCCACGCTGGGCGGTGAAAACATCCAAAGCACGCAAGGGCCACCACACAGCTTGTCCCGTCAAGACAGCACCCACCTACAGTAAGTGTGGCATTCATTTTATGGTCGTTGACTTGCTCGGTCATTTGATAAAGTGAAAAAAAAAGAACCTTCAATTCCAGGCTACGTTCACAAGCTCGTAGAGGAGGTGATCGCAATCAATAGTCGATGGCGGTGTCTTGCTACTGCGGCGAAGGCCAGCACAAACATCTTTCCGGCGCCCATGACTGCGGCCTTTGCCAGGCCTTCAAAGGAGGAGTTAGTGGAAGCACGGAGGTCCCGCTTCGGCCGTACTCTGCAGTAAGGGCACTCTCTAAACTCATGTTTCATTTCCGCAGCCTGAAGGAAGTATACCTGCCAGTTAAAATGAGCGTCCTAGTACATCAATGACTCTACTTTCACAGGACTCCCTGAACATCGCCATGCCCTCCATGCAGCCTGCCATCTCATCCTCAAAGCCAGTGGTAAGTGTGGCTGCAACGAAGCGATAACCGGTTTATAAATACGCAACCTTTTGTCTACAGAAATTCCCCGGACAGTACAAAGTCCACTCATTCGTCCCGCAGTCTCGTCATAAAAGCCAGCAGTAAGTGTGGCCGCTGCACGATGCTAGCTAGCAGTTCTGTAACTACCCAACCTTTTCTCTACAGAAATGCCCCAGGCAGTACAAAGTCCACTCAATCCTCCCGCAGTCTCGTCATAAAAGCCAGCAGTAAGTGTGGCCGCTGCACGATGCTAGCAATTCTGTAACTACCCAACCTTTTCTCTACAGAAATGCCCCAGGCAGTACAAAGTCCACTCAATCGTCCCGCAGTCTCGTCATAAAAGCCAGCAGTAAGTGTGGCCGCTGCACGATGCTAGCAGTTCTGTAACTACCCAACCTTTTCTCTACAGAAATGCCCCAGGCAGTACAAATTCCACTCATTCGTCCCGCAGTCCCGTCATAAAAGCCAGCAGTAAGTGTGGCTGCTGCACGATGCTAGCAGTTCTGTAACTACGCAACCTTTTCTCTACAGAAATGCCCCGGGCAGTACAAAGTCCACTCATTCGTCCCGCAGTCTCGTCATAAAAGCCAGCAGTAAGTGTGGCCGCTGCACGATGCTAGCAGTTCTGTAACTACGCAACCTTTTCTCTACAGAAATGCCCCAGGCAGTACAAAGTCCACTCATTCGTCCCGCAGTCTCGTCATAAAAGCCAGCAGTAAGTGTGGCCGCTGCACGATGCTAGCAGTTCTGTAACTACGCAACCTTTTCTCTACAGAAATGCCCCGGGCAGTACAAAGTCCACTCATTCGTCCCGCAGTCTCGTCATAAAAGCCAGCAGTAAGTGTGGCCGCTGCACGATGCTAGCAGTTCTGTAACTACGCAACCTTTTCTCTACAGAAATGCCCCAGGCAGTACAAAGTCCACTCATTCGTCCCGCAGTCTCGTCATAAAAGCCAGCAGTAAGTGTGGCCGCTGCACGATGCTAGCAGTTCTGTAACTACGCAACCTTTTCTCTACAGAAATGCCCCAGGCAGTACAAAGTCCACTCATTCGTCCCGCAGTCTCGTCATAAAAGCCAGCAGTAAGTGTGGCCGCTGCACGATGCTAGCAGTTCTGTAACTACGCAACCTTTTCTCTACAGAAATGCCCCGGGCAGTACAAAGTCCACTCAATCGTCCCGCAGTCTCGTCATGAAAGCCAGCAGTAAGTGTGGCCGCTGCACGATGCTAGCAGTCCTGTAACCACGCCACTTTTTCTCTACAAAAATGCCCCGGGCAGTAAGTTTGGCTGCAGCAAAGGGTGAACCAGCTTATAAAGAAGCAAGTTTGTTTTACAACACTTGCACCAGGTGAGCACTACCAGGAAAGAATGGCCAATCCTGAAACCAGAGACCTGCAGTAAGGATATGTGTTGCTTTGCAATCATTTTTAAATAGAATTGAGACCTATTCCAACATTTGTGTTTGGATTTCAGGACCACGAGAGATGCAAGCTTTGACGACTGATATCACCTGCCAGTGTGGATGCTAGAGGACAAGGAACACCACCGAGCAAAGAAAAATATATCAGGAGGCCTCCATTTTTCAATATTTGTTAGCAAGGAGTGAGGCGTAACATTTATTTGAGAAAGTCTGGTCAGTATATTGTCTTCGGTGCAGCTACATTAGGGAAGTCAAGATAATCAGGACCCTATACTTACGAGTGGGCTACCATCTCACGCACTGTTCATAATGTGACCTCGACCGGAGTGTGACATTGACAACCAAGTAGAAGGACAGGGTCTGTCATTGCATGCCAGGAATTTTCAACATTGTCAAAGGAAAAATAGTAGGTTTACTGAAAGTGTAATGTATATTCAGTTGAAGCACACTAATGAACGTGTTCATGGCACGTTTCTTTTTTATAATTGAAGCATCTAATACCCTGGCGTTGATTTTCCATTTCATGTGCTGGCAAGCTGACAGGTTGAAGAGGAGTTACCATGATTACAGCACTGCTCGCCTGCGACTTTTTTAATAAATGGGGTTTTCAGCCAGGAGGTAGACTGGCAATGCTGAGTAAAGTTGTGCATAACTCGGATCACTCAGAGTTATTTTTCATGATATCCAAGCAGTACTGCCAGTCTACACCACGGTTTTCCCCCATCTGAATCATTCTCTTGTTTCACCTT